TGTTGCATAGGGTTATACCTACAACAAGGCTGGGCTGCTTGCTCTGAATCAAGCTTCTATGGAAATGGTTGTGTAAAGCAGCCTTCCTTCAGGTGATGAGACTGATCTGTGTTAGACGCAAGCAAGAATTCAAGAGATGATGGCTGCAGTGTCCCCCTTATTGGTCTGCATGTTGCCAACTCAAACTGCTGTCACTATTCCACACTTATAGGCAATACCAAGGGGTGTTCTGCTCTTGATTTCTTGCAACTGGAACAACCTGGACAGAGGTTAATTTGGGTTTAACATCTGATGGTTTTGTTTTTATAAACAGAGAGCCAGATTGTATGCAAAAGCACTTTCATCAGAAAACCACAATATTCTCATGTCCACATGCTTCCTGACATGTAAATATTACAAAACAATTTATTTAGCTTAGTTATTATTGATGGAGTAGTACACATTTTATACCAATTTTCTTTTAGATTTTAACTTGGGTCTGCCATTTTGATCCGTGTGTATAACATCTGGAACACATTTCTTCAGTCTGTCAGCTAATACTGCAGTGAAAATCTTATAATCTACATTCAGCAGGAAAATTGGTCTACAATGGGTCTTGACTTATAACAGTTCATTTAGTGAACGTTCGAAGTTACAACGGCACTGAAAAAAGGAACTTACGACCATGTTTTACACTTATGACCGTTATCAGCATCCCTCTGGTCACGTGTTCAAAATTCAGATGCTTGGAAACTGACTCATATTTATGACCGTTGCAGTGTCCCGGGGTGTTGTGATCCCCTTTTGTGACCTTCTGACAAGCAGTCAATGGGGAAGCCGGATTCACTTAACAACTGTGTGACTAACTTAACAACTGCAGTGATTCACTTAACAGTTGTGGCAAGGAAGGTCATAAAATGGGGCAAAATTCACTTAACAAATGTCTCACTTAGGGCTCAGTTGGGGTCATAAGTTGAGGACTACCTGCATATGAGAACAGCTGTACAATATGGCAGTGGTGGCGAACCTATGGCACGAGGCACTTGGAGCCCTGTCTGTGGGCACACATGCCGTCAGCCCAGCCCCACCTCCCCAAGCAGCCCCCTCACCAGCAGGCCCCCCAGAGGAGAATCACCCCCAGATGCAGCCCGCGCAAAGCAGCGCAGCCAAGCACATGGCAGCTGGGCAGCAGATGCTGCTGCAGTGTGCGGGCAGAGGGCGTGGCCACCATGGCGCTGCAGGGCTGCCTGGGCGATCTGCAGCGGGCCATGGATGGCCCTGAGGGCGGAGCAGGGCGGGGTGGTTTTTGGGCACTCGGTCTCTAAAAGGTTCGCCATCACTGCTATATGGGATTCTCATAGGATCAGACAGCAAGAAAATCAGTTCAAAAATAGCTTTCTCTCTTTCTCACTCTTGCTTCTGAATAGCCTTCAGGTCTTTTTGAAATCCTCCATTGCGATTCCCACCAACGCCTGGCTTTAAAAGTGAAACCGAGCAAAGGGAAAACATTTTAGCCAGACCTTCTTGGTGTAATTCTGCAAAGGGGCTGCTAACAAAACTTTAAAAATGTTATCTTCTTGTGCTTCATAATTTTTTATTAGACACACAAGAAAAAAAATAAAAGCTCTGTCCAACCACAAAGGATATACGTGCAAAATCACTTTTAGAAACAATGTGACCTGCCAGATACTTGTGGGAGGAAATTCTAGGTTTAATTAACATACAGCCTCTCAATAGGCCAGGTGTGAGACCAGAAAGAGATAAAGATCTATTTTGGCTCAACTAAAGAGGAAGAAGTCAAAATGAAATGCTTGAGGAAATAAAATGCTTGCTAGCCTGGGCAATAAGAAAAGCAGCCGTGTTGCTTTACATTTTAGCTACAGATAGTCCTTGATTTGGAGTCGTTGTTTAGTGACCATTCAGTTACAACAGCACTGAACAAAGTGACTTATGACCGTTCCTTGCACTTATGACCACTGAAGCATCCTCATAATCATCTGATCAAAATTGGGGTGGCAACTGGCATGTATTTATGTGTAACTGGCATGTATTTACAATAATTGCAGCATCCCAGGATCCTGTGATCGCCATTTCCAACCTTCCCAGCCAACTTCTGACAAGCAGTCAGTGGGGGAAACCAGATTTGCTTAATGTCTGCATAATTTGCTTAACAACTGCAGGGATTCGGTTATAAAATCAGGCATTACTCACTTAATTGCCTTGCTTAGCAATGGAAATTCTGGTCCCAATTGTGGTTGTTAAGTCGAGGACTACCTATATAAGAAATGCTCCAATTGCGAAGAATAAACTGAAAACAGCATTGCGCTATACAGCATCACCCATAAGGACTAGGAAGCGAGCGGTCTCTGTTGTGGCCCCATGAATCTTCTTCATGGTAGGAGCCCTATGATGATATTCCCAGGGCTCCCACCATAAAAAAGTTTCAAAAGTCTTTCAAGATCTGACTCTTTGCCTCTGTGTTGTGGTAGGGTGGGTGTTAAGCCCATCAGGTGCATTTTTTTTTGTTATATTGTATGTTGTTTTTTTTTCTGAATGTGCATGGTTCTTTTTTCCATGTTAATGTGGATTTTTCCTTAATTTTTAAAATGTAAGCTGCCTAGGATGAGCTGGAGTCAGACAGGCTCTAAATTTAATTAAGTCATACAGCTATATATCAAAGTTCATTCATTACAACATGCTGATCCAGGTGAGAGTGTTTGGGTAAGAATAAAAGGAGAGAAACAAAACCAGTATTTGCTGTGGGACTGTTTAATACAGTAGTTCTCAACCTTTTTAATGCCGCGACCCCCAACCGGTCGTAAGTCGAGGACTAAACCGGTCGTAAGTCGAGGACTAAACTGGTCGTAAGTCGAGGACTAAACCGGTCGTAAGTCGAGGACTACCCAACCGGTCGTAAGTCGAGGACTTTCCCTGCCTGAGAGCGCCGTGCATGCGTGGTTCCGCCCCCTGCGCCGGCCGAGGCGTAGCTGGCAAGCGGCAGAGACGGAGCAGGCCGACCACCAGCTGGCCCAGACCAAGGGAGGTAAGGCACCCGCCGGAAAAGGGGAAAAAAATGGCGGACAGCCTTGCTTGGCGACCCCCGTGGAATGGTCGATCGACCCCAAATGGGGTTGCGACCCATAGGTTGAGAACCGCTGGTTTAATAGAACACCTGGAAGTGTGGAAGACATGGATGAGGAATGAGACACACTTCATGGGTCCTAATAAACGGCACTGCTTAATCAAAGGAACCCAGAGTGCACCAACCCTGTTGCATTAAACCAGCCAAGCTGACTTGAGCTAGACCATGGGTCTTCAAACTTGGCCCTTTTATGACTTGTGGACTTCAACTCCCAGAATTCCTCAGCCAGCATGCCTGGCTGAGGAATTCTGGGAGTTGAAGTCCACAAGCCATAAAAGGGCCAAGTTTGAAGACCCCTGAGCTAGATGAACAGGCCCCCATGCCATGTAGGGCTTTATAAATCATAACCAGCACCTTGAATTGCTCCTAGAAGCAAACTGTCAACCAGTGCAGCTGAAGCAAGGGTACACACCCACACTGCTTCATGCTGGACCAGTTGAAGTTTCTGCGTATCTGAGCCCTGGTGGCACAGTAGTTAGAATGCAGCATTGCAGGCGAACTCTGCCCACTGCCAGGAGTTCAATCCTGACCGGCTCAAGGTTGACTCAGGCTTCCATCCGCCCAAGGTTGGTAAAATGAGGACCCAGATCGTTGAGGGCAATATGCTGACATTGTAAAACCGCTCTGAGAGTGCTGTAAAGTACTGTGGAGAGGTATATAAGTCTAAGTGTTATTGCTATCTGTGATGGCCTCAGAGCCAGGCTTCAAGATGCAGGGGAATCAGATCTCATTGGGTGCCGCACCTATTGATTCAACAGCCATCGAATCCAATACGATACCTTTTCAAGCCCCTCTTCAGCTAGCACTGATTCTTCTTTAGCCAACACAGGTGTCAGGAAATGGGGCACAGTTCCCTATCCTGAAAATTCTGCACCCCAGCAAAGTTAAGTGCCTCATGAGCAAGCAGCAAGATGCCAATTCTACAAGGAAGCCCAGTGTCTCCTTACTGGCAGCAGCTGAGCAGGGTAAGCCTCCGCTGGGGTGAATCTGTGGGATGGAGGGCAGGACAGGTCACAGCCACTGGCCTTACTATCCCCATAAGCAGCCCCGCCTCAAGCTTCCCACTATACGATGAAATGGATCCCACCCTCATAATCTTTATATGTTCAAATGAAACTGCAGCTCAGGAAACCATTTTTATTTATTTATTAAAAACATATGAGTTGAGAGATATATCATAGGAAAAAATTATTTCAAATATACAGATACTATTATCCAATTAGCCATTAAGGAGAAAGAGAAATTAAAACTGGACAAATTTCAACTCCCTCCCTCCTAGTTTAAATTAACCTGAACTATGGTGGACATCCTTCTTCAAGGAAAAAAAGGCAAAATGGATCTAAGGGCTATTCACCTGGGAGGCAGATTTATTTGCTAATCCCTGCTGATTTTTATTAGCAAAAGCAAAAAAACTAATAATTGTGAGCTAGGTGTTCAGCCTTTTTTCTCAATTGGGGCTGGGACTAAAGATGTCTCTGTTTTGTAACAATTCCCAAGACCTTTGACCCAAGTAGAGATTGGAAGGAAGGAAGGAAGGAAGGAAGGAAGGGAGGGAGGAAGGAAGGAAGGGAGGGAGGGAGGGAGGGAGGGAGGAAGGAAGGAAGGAAGGAAGGAAGGAAGGAAGGAAGGAAGGAAGGAAGGAAGGAAGGGAGGGAGGGATAGGATAGGATAGGATAGGATAGGATAGGATAGGATGTCCCAAAGGTGCTTTTCAAAAGGCATTTGGACTTTATTTTTTCTTTGAAAATGTTTCATTTCTCATCCAAAAAGCTTCTTCAGAAGAGAAGCAAAACTTTTTCAAAAAACAAAAAACAAAAGTCCAGTTGCCTTTTGAAAAGCATCTCTGGGACAACCATGACCTGGATGATCATTGAGAATCTCCACAGACATTAGGATAGGACAGACAGAAGGTACATCTCTTATACAATTATATTACACAGGCCAGAGTCATCCCAACAAACTCTTCACAAGCCTTGATGTTTTTGCTTTTGATTGGAGATCAAGGAGAAAAAAACAAAATGGCAGAGATTCAAGTTAAATAAACTGCTACTAGAAGCCCTGTGAAAATAATGGCTATTTTTGCATACTGTACATATTTCATTCAGTTTAACTTGGTTTTGTTAGGTATCTCAAGCCCTCCAGACATGGACTCCAACACCCATCAGCCCCCGCCAGCAAAGCCAATGGGCAGAGAGGATGTCATCCAAAACATACGGAGGACATTAGGTGGGGAAGATTGCTCTAAAGATTCAGGAGGACTATAAATCAAAGCAAGTGACCCAAGGACAAAAGGAGCACAACTTAAAAAGATTGTAAGAGGGACTCTGCCAAGTTAAGTGATCTACACACGGTAGTTACAGGACCAATATAAATGGAAGTCAGATCATAGATTCTGCATTCAACGCAACAGTCGGGGTCCATCTCCTACCTAGAAAAGTATCTGAACACCACCCACCACTCTGCTTCGGTTATGACTGTCCTTTACCCTAATGCAAGTCAGGTCTACCACGTTGGATCTGGCTCTTGCTTTATTTGAGCGTGTTCTTCAGTCTGTACCGAATCTGTGGAGACAAAGAGTATTTGGCTGCTTTTAGACAATACTAAGGACACTGAAGAACAAGAGACATGGAGATCTTATATTCTGTTTCTCCAAAGATTAACAATTCAGAAGGGCTGCTAAGTTTCCCTGATGCTAATACTGCTATTTTGATAAGCTCCAAAAGAGTAGCTTAAAAAAAGAAAAGCAGCAAATGGGACATGATTCACAAAACACACTGAACCTAAGACAGGTGACAATTTAAAAATGGGATACCAGCCAACCCATATATTAATATTTGTTCACCGATTCATAATTAGAAAAGCTAGCAAGATTCTTTACAAAGAATGTAAAACTGATTTTACTTTATTTTTAGCTTCATGGACATGGCATACTTATTCAAATAGCAAGTGCTTTCTTCTCATTAGGTCACAGATCCTTACCTTCCTCCACAGATACTTGTACTATTTGGTCCGTTTCAACTGGCTCTAGAAGAAAATACATACAGATATTTGTATTAATTCTATATTGGTAGCAACTTTTATCAACATGCCTTGTCAATGACTGTAGCCTTTGAATGACTGTTTCTACTCTATACAGAAGTCTCTAAAGCCTCTTTTATAAGACAAGAGCATCTAAAACTACATCATTCTATTTCTACCACAATACTGCAGTGGAGGGTTTTGTTATCTACTCCCAACATAAATAAAAATTAGAATACATTGAATTAACATAATAATAATAATAATAATAATAATAATAATAATAATAATAATGAGCACATGAAACTTCAAATGTAATGAGCACAAGCTTCCTTAGAAATCATGCTGATAATTATTAAGCCCTGAATATAATTGTTAACATTTACCTTGTACCACCGGCTCAGGAGCTGGCACAGTGACTGCTGGGACTTCTGCTTCTGCTTTTTCGGTAATTTCTAGAAGAAACAGGATAAAAATTAATCTTTTATCAAGCAATGCCCCTGAGAAATACCTGAGAGTTATTCGTAAAGATACAGTATTATTCAGTTTCAGTGTGCAAACTGTTAAAATGTTTTGGCAGTCAGACAGGAAAAACACAGAACAATGATGCTGACTGTATAAAATTTGAGTTTATAAAAATCACTTCCCTTTTCAGCAATAACATTTTCGAATACATCAGAACCACCTACAATTTAGAAGCTTATTTGGAAAAGATTAGAGATTTCACTAAAATAATATGTAGGGTTGCACTGTACATAATGATGCAGCCAAACCAAAATGAAAAACAAGTAGAGGTAAAGAATTGTTGAGAAATTTATCCTTCAGTATATTGCTGAATTGCTATGTGACGTATTGTGTTGTATCCAGGCAATGATGGATTATTTTTAAAATGGGTAAAACAGCAGAAAAGACCTCTAAACTGACCACATAAATGCATAGCTGTTTGTACATTGCCCAGCGTCACTTTTAGTGAAACGGGTTAATGCAATTAATAAAATGGTTATAAAGATTTATTCTGTTAATGAAATACTTACGGTTGTTCATTACAAGTCCGGGGAATGGTCTGTTGGAAAACAATGTAATATTTCAATACGCAGAAATAATTTATTTAATCCAAATTTCCACTGATGACTTCCAGGAAAGATTTTAAGTGTCTGATTTTTAGAACCAATATAAGCCCTCTTAAGCTTCAAAAACCGTGTGATTTTCTTCTTCTATGTTACTTTAATGCAGGCTTCCTCAACCTGATGCCCTCCAAATATGTCTGACTGTAACTCATACCCAGCCACCAATCAGAGTGTGGAAGAGTGGTTAGTGTGTGGGACTAGGAATGTGGACACCCAGGTTCCTATCTCTGCTCCGACATAAAATACCCTGGGTGACTTTTAGCCTAACCTACCTTACAGGGTTGTTGCAAGTATAAAATTGAAGGGGGATAATGTAGACGGCCTTGAGCTCCTGGAGGAAAGGCGGGATATAAATGCAACAAATAGTTCAATTAATGGAATCTAGAAACTTCAACTGTGCTCTACCAATTCTATAATTCCTAAACCATTCAGCAAGTCCAATAAGAAATATTCAACATAAAAAATACACAACCGTAGTTTTGTACTTTCACACCCAGTTCAAACTAATAATCATTGTATTTCCTGCTTTATTGAATTCTGTTTAATTCTTCCACTTTTAGCATATTTCTTTCAATACCTAATACTTTACCTATATTTATCCTTTTTTTTTCTTTACTATATTTGAATGCCCGATCGCAAGCATTCCAAAATTCTATTTCTGTCTCTATCCAGGACAAATCTCAAGGAACAAAATACTTATCTCTGCTACTGAAAATATCTCCTCAAATCAGTTGTCCTTTGTCTTAAATGGGGATGAGAGAAGAAACGGTCACCCAAATTCTTACTATATTCTCTTCAAGATGGGTTATAAAAAGCCTGATAACTATAAAGCATTTTAACCATTATTACCAAAGAGTTGAACTTCCAATTCTGCATTATTTAAAGTAGTTAGAAATTACAGGCAATTCTCAACTTATGACCACAACTGGGACTAGAATTTCCATTGCTAAGCAAAGCAATTTTTAGTTGTGCCCAATTTTATGACCTTTTTGCCCCGGTCACTAAGCTAAACATTGTAGTTGTTATACGAATCATATGGTCATTAAGAGAATCTGGTTCCTCCCCCCCCCAATTGACTTTGCTTGCCAGAAGCCTTCTGGGAAGGTCAAAAATGGCGATGATGTGGCCCTAGGACACTGCAATTGTCCTAAATACATGCCAAGTCTCTGAATTTTGATCACGTGTCTGTGGGGATGCTGCAACAGTCATAAGTGCAAGAAGTGGTTGTAGGTCACTTTTTTCAGTGCCGTTTTAACCTCAAATGGTCACTCAATGAATGGGTGTAAGTTGAGGACTACCTGTAATGCCTAAGAATGTGAACTTCCAGGGAAGAGGCAGAAACAAACTGTTCATCTCCAGGCCAAGCCTCAATATAGAGAACCTTCCCGCCTGATCTTTCAACACTTCTTAGATCTGTTTGACCGTGGGCCAATTGCCTATGCAGTCACCACATCCTCTTTCAAGAGTTCGGTAGAAGCCTGTGGTACTGAATGCAATCGAGGCTAGAAGACAAGGTGGGCACTCTTAACACCCTGCCTGACACTGGAAAGAGGGCTGGCTTTTCCCAGCTGTGAGGGTGTTGCGGGCCCAACCCAACACCCAGATCTGCAACAGTTTCTTTCAACACACAACTAAATTATGTACACTAAATACTGTATTGCTGAAAGTCACATACCTAATGACAGTAAATTTAATAAACTCCGCGGAATCCAGAATCTTCCTCATGGAACTGATTTCAAGATAGCTGGGAGCTTTAAAAGATACACCAGGGGGCATCCCATCCACCACCACACAGCCAGGGTTGACAGTGATTTTTCGGTATGGGACTTTCACAGGGTATCCCATGCCAATGGCTTCCCCTACAGAAGAGAAAAGGGAGCTTAACAAAGATGGCAAGTAAAGGATTCTGGGTTCAGAGGTATGGGTAGTCCTCAACTTATGATCACAATTGAGCCCAGAATTTATGTTGCTAAGTGAGAAATTTGTTAAGTGAGTTTTGCCCCATTTTACAACTTTTCTTGCCACATTTGTTAAATGAATCACTGCAGTTGTTAAATTGGTAACATGGTTATTAAGTGAATCTGGCTTCCCCATTGACTTTGCTTGTCAGGTTGCAAAAGATGGTCACATGACCCTGTGACATTGCAACTGTCATAAATATGAACCAGTTGTCAAGCATGTAAATCTCGTGATCATGTGGACGCTGCAACAGTCATAAGTGTGAAAAATGGTCATAAGTCACTTTTTTTAGTGCTACTGTAACTTCAAACAGTCACTAAATAAAATGTTGTAAGTGGAGGACTACTTGTACTTCTTGAAATGTGTACATAATTCCTTGGGAACAAGATGATAAAAATGCACGAGGAATAAATAACATATTTGAAATATAACTGCATAGTAGTTATGAGAAAGAACAATATTGTGAGAAAAAACTTCAAATGACTATTTTTACATAACAAGGAACCAAATATTCCTTTAATTACCTACTTTGTTCATTCAAGGTAGTAATAGTGTGGCTTTTTTTTTAAAAAAAACCCTCACATGACCTATTAATAATTTAAAAAATATTTAAATCTTGATCAAATCATCATGCACACGTTGTTTCTATCGTGACAGTCAAAGAAATGTTTTTATGTTTTTGAACTTCAGGATCAGGAAATGAAAGCAAGAACTTCTGTCTACTATTTGCTTCTCAGCAATTTTTATTTTTGTTTAGAGGAACACTTGCTTTTAAAAATGTAGTTATCACAGCTCATATTATGAAAGATCAAAATCTTTTAAATTATGTACACTTTGTGTCAAACAACACCCTATCTTAATTATACACTGTATTTCGAAGGATTTTCTTCTCCTGTGCCGAACAGGACTGTCGGATGGAAGTCCTGTTCCGTTTGGAATGGCCAATGGCTGCGAGGGAAATGTCTCCCCAGCTCTGGCATATCCTCCCCAAAGTGCTTTTTGCCTGGTGCCTCTTTCCTAACCCCGGGTCTATTCCTTTTTATTCCCCAAAGCTTTAATCTTCATTTTTTTATTTGCACTGTGATAATAGTTCTGCTGGAGATTTGTGGCTGTTTTCTTCGATTGCTGTTTTACACAAGTTGGGTTAGGATTTCTTTTAAGAGCTAAGAAAACCTAGCTACAGTCTTAAAAAATTATTTTGATACTAGTGCTTCAGCTTTACTTCTGTTTTCCAAAGTGTTAAAAGTAACCAAGCTAATAATAAAGCAAATTGGGATGGGGAAATCATTGCAAAAGAGAGCAAGAGCCCTGAGCTGCCACAGTAGCACCAGGTGCTTCCTGGTGGGTAGCTCTTGCTCTGTAGGTGGGATTCAATGTAGGGGTGAGACAGCAGCAAGTGCAGTTGAAATGTGTGGGCAGTGAACTAGAAGGCAGCTGGCCGTGAGCATCATTTTGTGAAGGAAAAGGGAGGAGAGTTAAAAACTGAATGTTAGAATTTCTCACGTAGCAGCTTAGAAGAAAATCATGTTACCACTGCACAGTTCCTCATAGATACAAGCAAGCAATCCTGAATGCCTCACTCTGGTCAATGTTTCATCTGTGGTTTCATTGCCACCCTCCATTTTATCAGTAGGTTCAAGCACAGACCCATCTGCCATTTTGGGCAGTGATTTTGATAAGAAATACACCTGATCCCACATAAATCCACCTAACTGTCTCTAAAACCGATTGCTTTTGTAACTAGGAGGAAACTATTCTTTACCACAGAGCATATGTTTTTCCATTCACATGGACACAGATCCACAGCTGCTTAAAAACAAAACACAAGAATGAAGTCCTTGTTTGTTTACACATTTCCCCCACTTCGAAAACGGAGAAAGATTGTTTTGCTGTTTCAGCTGCCCTGAGTAGCACAACAATGGATTCAAAGGCCGAGAAGGCTAGAAGGGAATTATTTTGACTTTCTGTAGAGGAAATGCACAAACCAAATTTTCGACTGAAGAGATCATTCACTTGCTCTCTCAGCTGCCGGGCCTTCTCTACTTTGGAGGTTCTCTCATCGTCATCTGCAAAATGTAAAGATGCAATCACTGTAATTGTATGGGGTTTTTTATGACTTTTAAAGACTTAAGACAACCTAATGATCAGTCCAAGGGGAACTATTTGAGATTGCTCTATCTTCTGGTAGTGGATGATGCTTTAATCCTGGCCTAGGTGATTTCCTCTTTGGGGCTTGAAGAAATGGAGAGAAGGAAGACCAGAAACACAGAAACACCCCAACGATGCCCTTGACGTGATGACCCGTTGCCTGGAGGCCGTACGGGTCTGGATGGGGAGGAACAGACTCAGGCTCAACCCTTCCAAGACTGAGTGGCTGTGGCTGCCGGCGCCTCGGCATAGTCAGCTGACCCCATCGCTGACTATAGGGGGCGAAATTTTGGCCCCCTCAGAGAGGGCCCGCAACTTGGGAGNAATGTATCCTCTTCACTGCTAAACTGGCAGATGTCCTACTGTTTTGCACTGGAAATCAGAGCAAACAGGGTAAGCTTAAGCCTTAGGTGTGTCCTTATAACAACAAAAACACGAACAAAACTGCCCTCAATAGGAAAAGCAAAACATCTCAATCCTAATTTCCAACCAGTGCCTGACATCATACATATACCAATACCCAAAACAAAAACAAAATAAAAGCAAAAATAATTTGTCCCATGTCTCCCCTTTCTCCTAAAGTTTGCTTACAGACAGAATGTTCCAATGGGCATTGAACTGGGCATCTAAGCAGGAGCAATTATTACTCTCACCATTCCCTGCACCCTGCGAAAGACAAAAAAAATAGAAGCACACCACTCTAGTTCACCACAACAACCTTTCCTTTCACCTTTTGCAGCCGGCCACACCCAAAGCAGAAGTGGCTCACAGTCTTTGCTGTCACCTTTTCGGATCCAACTTCTGCCACGAATGTTTCTTACGCAAGGCAGCTTTCTAACCCAGCACATGTAGGAAACATTTGCTGGGAGAATGTGGGTTCAAAAAGGAGTCAGCAAAAGTAGTGTAAACCTTTGTAACCGAGCACAGCTTTAGTCACATATAGGAAATATTTGTGGAAGAAAGTGGGTCTAAAAAGGAAACGGCAAAGGTAGTGAACCTCTTCTGCTTTGGCTGCAGCTGGGTGCAAAATGTAAAGATTAGTGTGGGAAATGGGAAGAGAAGACAGATGAGTGAAGGAATGCTTGCTGTGGCAGGCTCAGGAGTGAACAAATGCTTATTTGTTGCCTGCTGGTGGGGGACTGGGGCTGGGTTAAGACAATTGAGTGAATGAATCCTCGCTGGCACTTGCTGGGCAATGGCAAGTGCATTTCTGGGACTGCTTGCCCACCCACAAGTCAGGGTGCAGGACAACCAAAAGGACATTGGGGGGGGGGATAGGCAGCTGGGGAGTTGGTGCATCAAATTTTAATCACATGACCGTAGAGGCATTGCAATGGCTGTAACTTCAGCCATGTGTTGTAAGTCCGTTTTCTTAGTCTAGGTCAGTGGTTCTCAACCTTTTTAATGCCGCGACCCCAACCGGTCGTAAGTCGAGGACTAAACCGGTCATAAGTCGAGGACTAAACCGGTCATAAGTCGAGGACTAAACCGGTTTAAGTCGAGGACTACCCAATCGGTCGTAAGTCGAGGACTTTCCCTGCCCGGGAGCGCCGCGCATGCGTGGTTCCGCCCCCTGCGCCGGCCGAGGCGTAGCTGGCAAGCGGCAGAGACGGAGCAGGCCGACCACCAGCTGGCCCAGCCCAAGGGAGGTAAGGCACCCGCCGGAAAAGGGGAAAAATGGCGGACAGCCTTGCTTGGCGACCCCCATGAAATGGTCGATTGACCCCAAATGGGGTCCCGACCCACAGGTTGAGAACCACTGGTCTAGGTAAACTGTTGCTAGCAGCTGATTCTGCTTTATGGTTAGCCTAAAGCACATATGAGCCTATTTTACATCCAAAGGAAAATAATGTTCTAAATACCATTCACTGCCCTTACTTCTTTTTAAAAAGGTGATGGTGCTTTTGAGTTAGAACAAAAAATGTAAATTGAATTTTAAACAGCGTTACTCAACAGCTTTTAAAACCTCTGAACACTAGAAAGTGGGTAGGGTACCTGGTATTGTCACTTGGATGATGTTAAGGTCTTCTACTCCAGCAGCTGTGTTCACCACCGGGTCAGGCACACTTACAGCATTTATCACAGTATTACATAAGCTGGTTCTTCCTTGGAAAAAATGCAGAGGCAAAACATTAGCTCAAAACCTTTCAAATAAACCCCATTCTCGTCTTTAATAATGAAAATGCAGAGTGAAAAGTTTAAAGAATAAACCAGAGAGAGAGACTGACCGACTACGCAAGAATTAGACTGCATTAGATTAGATGAAAGCTGACAGCTGCAACTAGAACCAGATCAAAACTTGTTTCCTACTACAAAAGGGCAAAAGTGCTACAAAGATCTGCAGCTTTTGAATTTTAAAAACACTAGAAAAGAAATACAGACCAGCATACGGAATGGCAGCTAGAGAACTGGATAAATCAGTGTTTCTCAATCTTGACAATTTTAAGGCATGTGGACTTCAACTCCCAGAATTCCACAGCCAGCAATGCTGGCTGTGGAATTCTGGGAGTTGAAGTCCAACATGCCTTAAAATGGTCAAGGTTGAGAAACATTGGGATAAATAATGAAGCAAAATCTCAGTAAACCACAGCTGATGTTGTAGCTATTTCCTTGTAGCTGCAGATCCATTTTGGATCAAGAATCTGACTGAAATGCTACTGGTCGGCTCAGATGTGCAGTGCCCACTGCCAGTTTTTGTGCTTGTCTATTGAAATCTGGTTTTCTACGGACAGAACACCACGATACATAGGAAATGGAGATATTACTTAATGAATGTATTCTTTTTATTGTGGGAGCTCAGTATCAAATATGGAGGCCTCTCACAAGATATAGAAGTAGTCCTCACTTAACCATTCATTCAGTGACCATTCAAAGTTACAGCAGTGCTGAATAAATGGTAGTTATGTCCCAAAGTCACACAATCAAAATTCAGGTGCTTGGCAGCCCACCTGCATTTACAAAGCCAGGGACACTCCCTCTATTTCTGCCTTTTTGGTTGCTCTTGCAACTGTGCCATCTCCATGGTCCTGGGCTCTGCTGGACCTGCCACCTCCCAGCTGACCTTTGCCATCTTCTTCCTTCCACCGCTAATGAGGTACGCCCAGCCTGGTTTTTAAAGAGGCAGCTGTTGGCATACGCCAAGCCTTCTTCCCGAGACCATGTGCAGGCTTGTCCAAATCATGTGCAGTTTCCAAAAGCTTCATGAGAAAGGTACATACGATTTGGACAACAAGGGGCCTTGGGAAGAAAGCCGCATACAGACAGCAGCTACCTTGGCAGAGATGGAGACAGACAGTGGATGGGGGAGTTGGAGGCAGTCCCTTACCTCAAGGCTTTTCAACCAGTGGTATGGGTACCACCTGTGTTACATTGGCACCTGGCAGGTGGTACGCGACCATCCTAGAAAAGTGGTAGCGGGGGAGGGGAATGAGCTGAACCGATGGCAGCACCGCACAAGCCTGAGCGAGAGATGGCTGGAGCTGCAGCGCTTCTTCGGGGCTATCAGGGCTCAACGGAAGCGCCAGGCTCCAGCTGGAGCTCAGCGCTGATCCTGGCACTTCTGCTAAGCCCAGAAGAAGCGTCAATCAGCTGGAATGTTGCAGCATCTCCAGGGTCTTGTGATTTACATTCAGATGCTTGTCAATTTATTCATATTTATGACAGTCACAGTGTCCAGGATCATGTGAAGTGACCAAAACCTGCTGCAACCACCCAGCAGATGGGGGGAATAAAAACCAAACACACCCCCACCCCACCCCACCCCCGCTGCCAATCCTCAACAGAAATGCTCACAACAATGAAAACCTCGAACAGGAGGAAGAGCGCCACTGGGTGGGCAGGCAGGTGTCTTGCTCGGCTGTGGCTTGGGGGGCACTTTTTTCAGTGCCATTGTAACTTAGAACAGTCACTAAGCGAACTGTTGTAAGTCAAGGACTACCTGTACTTCATCACATTTTTCCTTTTTGTGGGGGGCATCAAGTTTTTGACACCTTGCTAGGCGACTGGTGGTACTCGGATATTGCTATATCCTAAAAGTGGTACAATGGGTGAAAAGGTTGAAAAGCCCTGCCTTACCTTACTGAGAGTCACGGTTGGGAGAGACCAAACTGGGAAAGACTTAGATTGGGGTGATTCCTTGCCTAACAATTGGTAGGATTTGGTTAATGATAACAACAGGGACTGATGGACTGTTCTTAACTAAGTGATGCATTCACGTGACATCACGCTTTGACCAATCACTTAGCAACAGGAATTCTGGTCCCAATTACCACTGTAACTTGAGTACTACCTGAGATTGAAAACAGATTGGCCCTGTGGTCAGAGAGGGACTCTTCCCAAAACTATAGATTTATTTATGTCACTCTTTAAAAACATCCAATTCCTGAGAAGAAACAACATAGCTGTGAACTTATGGTGCAAGAGAATTACCGCCAAAGCAGAAGAAGTGAAACTCACTTTGAGGACTTGGAATAGCAGTAGCATTTTCTTTAATTGCTGCCTCAAACATTTCAGGCCTGCCGAGAAACACATTTAAGATTTGGCATAAATAAATAAAGAAGCAAAATCAACAAGCAAGGGCAAAGAAATTACAAGCAGCTCAATGTAAGCGTCACAAGGGTGGCATATTAAATGTGATTACAGGGTAGCAAGAATAATTATTGCCTCAACACATTAATTCCTGTTTCCTTTTCAAACCCTGCCCCAGTCACAGAGGCTCAGAGATGCCAGGTAACCCTTGAGCCAAAGATTAAAGCAAAACTCAGAGAACACTTCAGTTGCTCTGTGGGCATCCTAAACAGAGAATTTCATTGTAATCTCAGGCACTCTGTCAAAAACAGAAATTGAATTCCTAATGATATTATAGCAAGAAGTAACTAAAAAGGAATTCCCTCCCCCCCAAAAAAAAGGGGGGGGCTAAAAATAAAGATGGATTAGACAAAAATTTCCATGTCATCTAATTTGAAGCCTATCACCAGTGTTGGAACTCCAACTAAAGCCCTACAGACAACTGTATTATGGAATGGAATCCAACACATTTGGAAGCATTAGGATGTGGAAGAATGCACAACGCCAATATTTTATTTAATTTTAATGAATCTCAGTTTTCCCTGGAACCACACCATATTTGAATTCAGAAAATTCAGAAAACTGCATGATTCCATAAAGAAGGGAGAAATGGGGTTTTTTTTTGCCTACTTCCCTTTACATTAAAGAAGCACAAGCTACTTTTGATTTTTGAATGGATTTAAGAGCACCCATTAGAATACTATACCGATACCAAGTTGAATTTATTTCTCCAATTCAATAGACTTTTGAGGATCTCTCAGCTCATATAGATCCAAACCCTCCCAGTTAAAAGCCGCTTTCCTGCTTCTCATTTAATGCTATCACCCCAGAATGAAAGTGTGGATTACCCGTTCAATGCCTGGTTTTGTTTCATCCTCATTCTTCTGGGCAACTACAGAAGGGCTGGATAAACGTTACATGGAAAAACAGTGAGCAGGTGTTCAGTCTAGCTGGGTTCAGAAATGCGATGTGGTTTCACTAAATATGGCCTAAATTCTAGTGAACTCAATACTATTTTGGTAAGAGTTGGTCAAGACATTCAAGGGAAAACATGAGACGGGAGTGAGGGTGGCCACCCTAGGATTCCAAGATGACTCATAGCTTAATTTTTAAAATCCTTCTATTAAATTCTTTCAGATATTGCTCAAGAGAATTTGGTACCTCCTCCAAAATCCTAATGGGTGAAGAGAAGGAAGAAGAGAAGGAGAAAGAAGGGGATTTTATTATTTATTTTATTGGATTTTGAGGCCACCGAACTCTCAAAAGACTCTGGGTGGCTTACAGAAATTCAAAAGAATACTAATTTAAAAGGACCACGATTGCCTAGACAAAACCACATAAATAATATCCAGGAAAACAACTAGCAGGGGCTCCTCAAACATCCTATAGCCCAGGCCTGGAAACAAAATCTCAATGAAGTTTCAGAATATCCAATTGATTGCCAAGAATGCCCAGAGGGTGGTTCTAGTCACCATCAGCATCCAACAGACTACAATATCAGTAATGTTCTTCTCAATATACAGCCTGTAGTCAATTTCCTATCCTCCCTTTTTACAACCCTGTAACCCCTTAATTCGGGGTAGAGTCGGGGCAACTGGTTGGAGCTGAGCATTTACTGGTCAGATGCCCTTCTTGACGCCACATGGAGTTTGCAGCAGATATTTCTTCTTTGTAGTCTGCTGCTATCTGAAATTGAACTCTCAACCTTCGGAGTCGGAGGCGACCATGCCGCTCAGTCAATTTAGCATATTGCTGCTTATATTTAGCATGTATTAACTGGAAAAAAATCATTAATGATATTCTATTTGGCATCTTACATTTAATTAATTCAGATAATTCTGCATTCATTTATAGAGAAATGAAAGCAATTAAAGTCTCTTATTTTACTAGTTTACTCAGGAAGTTCATATAGCAGTACCTGTAGCTTTTTTGGGAAGCTATAAATAAAATAGAATGTATTCAAACTACCATGTATCTTCAGATGATCTAATGTCACAAATAGATAGCCACACATTAAGAGGAATTTTGGCATATTCAATCTAGTTTCCTCATATCTGTGTAGTCTGAATAGTGATAAAGCTCTTTTCCAATGTTTCAAAAGGTGAGTCTGCCTATTATTTCTAATAAAAAAATAAGGAAATAAATGTTCACATACTTGTAAAATTGAATCCTTTCTTCTTTTGAGGAGTATAATTCAATGTTATTTGATTATTTGGACACTTCTGCTCTCTTAGGAAGGTCTAAGGTTCAACCCTTCATATATTAAAACACAACTGTTTAAGGAATCCTGTAATTGACTAATCCGAATCCCAGCTTTATTTTACGTTTTATAGAAAGGCCACTCATGTGGTATGCATTACATCTGGCTTACTTTTTAATGATAAATTTTATCTTAGCTTTGTTTCGGAGGATTTTTTCCAATCTTGGAATGCCAAAAGTGGATGGGCGACGGAATGGCACTCCCTCAGGAAGGCCTTCAACATAAAAATCTTCAGGATAAGATTCAAAGAGCGCAAAAGGAACTTTAACAGGTTCTGTCAGTCCGAGAGCTTCCCCTAGAATAAAGTGATATGTGTGAGTGATTTGTTTTTCATTTAATAGGTTTTCCACGTCTGTTTGGTAGGTTTGAGCCACACAATGGGTGAATCAAAGAATGTTTCATGAAGCAATTTCAGAACTGTTTCAGCTAACAGCAGGATAATAATGCTTGAATTAAAGATATGATTCATCCATCACAGATTATTTCTATTCCAATATCAAGGTACTGTGTTTCCCCGAAAATAAGGGTCTTACATTAATTTTTGCTCCAAAAGACCCATTAGAGCTTATTTTCAGGTGATGTCTTATTGTAGAGGAGGCGACTAGCATGCGGGGACCAATGGTGTTCGGCAGCAGCTGCAGACTGCCGGCCCCTTGGCCAGCGCACTTTGGGGCTGTGCAGCCCACACAGCACAGATGAGTCCAAGCGTTGCAACCACCAGGCCGACCCTCCAAGCAGCCAGGTAGTCACCTGCTCACCCCATCCCAATGTCTGTCTTTACTTGCCCATGTCTGTGATGGGGCAGGCGGCCCGTGACAGTCCGTATTGTGTGCCTCCCCCCATGCCTGTTTGTTTCTGGTGCTGCCACGAGGCAAGGCAGGTGGTGGGGCAGGGGTGGAGCCATATCACGAGGCGAGGCAGGTGGTGCCAACCATGGCCCCTGCATGCTCAGCTTCTGCCATCCAATCTTGTCCTCCAGCTCCGCTGCACACGTGGGGCGAGCCTCCTCCCCGCTGCCCCACCCGGGATGGCCCCGGAGAACGAGAAGGGTGGGGAGCTCCCGTCCTCAAGAGGCAGCCGGGACTCATCTCGCCACTTCACCCCGCCCAAGCCCAGCCCGGGAGCTGCCCCACATGCCCTGCACCCGCGATACCTCGGAGCTCTGCAGCTAGGCTACCCCCACCCCGCCACCTGCCTTGCCTCACCTCGTCTTGCAGCGGGCAGCACCAGCAACAGCAGCCCTGTCCAGCAGGAGCTCTGCCACCCTTCAGCCCCGCCACCCAGCCCGAGAAGCCCAGCCTGGGCAAGGAGAGCGAGCACAGCACCCCTTACGTACCATACAACAATCTACATTTATTCAGATATAGTCATGTCACCTTCTTCTGGAACATCGTCATAACTCTCTAAACCCCAAATTCTGGTCTGAATTTCTTGCGACTCCATTTCCTGTAGAACCATTGGCCCCAATCTCTCATATCCAGCAATAGAGCTCTCCTTAAACGAGCACTTCTTGTCCATGTGGCCTGCTGTAGTGCATTGGTAACACAGCTGTCAGTGATTTTATCCCATGAATTCTTCACCCAAGCGACAACCTCTGGCAGGGTAGGTTTCACAAAGTTTCCATGCTGATTTCTCTCCATTCTATTTTCAATGTAGTCATTGATTTCCATGTGCAAATGGTCCTTGAATGGCCTGTTTATTGCAATATCAAGAGTCTGGAGATAGGCAGCCATTCCTGTGGGAATCATTATTTGATCTATTCTTCTTTCTGCAAGTTCTTCATGTCTTTAGCGCGGTGAGTGCTGGCTGAATCGCAAACTAGCAGACCTCTTTGGCACCTCGCAAAACTAGTGGCAGCATTAAATCGACCCACTTCCTTATAACTGCTTGTGTGCACCAGGCCTTTTCGGTTTCAAGAACATAAATGCCTGAAACACGTTCAAGCTTATCTTTCTTGCCCTTAATGATGATTAGAGGTGGGGCTTTCTTTCTATCCAGACAAATTGCTAAAATACAGATAACACGTGCACTTTCGTAACCAGTGCAGGGAATGTAGATTGACGAGGCACCCCTCTGTCGCTTGAGATCCTTGGCCCATAGCAGTTTCATCCATAGTAATCATGTTGAGTGTTGGTATTTAGAAAAGTCGATGCCATCAACAAAGGACTTGAATGCAAGTGCACATTTAATAAGTTCAGTATCTTCCAGCTTGAACAGTGTTGTCGATCTTCTTAGAAACAATTCATATCGCTGAAGGAAGCCATCCAGCCAGTGTTGTGATGCTTTGAATTCTGGGGATATTTCTAACTGTGGTGACATTGCAAGGGCAAATGCTTGAATATCAGCCCTGCGCACAACCAAAGCCTTTGCTCTCCTGTCAGCAATCCATTCACAGATGATGTCTTCCAGTTCAGGAAATAATGGTTGCTGACCTGATCCACACTTGCGCTTCTTAGCATTTCCCTCGTCCACCTGTTGACTGAAGTTATCGTACTCTGCTCGCCATTTTCGGATCATTCAGAGATCCAACTTCTTCTCTTTGCAAAAAGCCGTAAGATTCTTGCCGCAAGAATCCTCCATGATTCCTTTCTTGAACTCGATGGAATAGCTCTTTCTTTTTGCACTCATCTTGTCTGGGGGTCAAAATATTATTCCCTTTAAATCTACCATTAAATCAGGAGTGGCTTGGCTGTGGGGCCCCGAGGTGCGCAGGTGCGGGCCCGTGGGGCAGCTCTGGGGCTGGGCTCGGGCACAGCGGATAGAGGAGTCCCAGCTGCCTCTTGGAGATGGGTGCTCCCCACCCTTCCTGTTCGCCGGGGCCATCGCAGGTGGGGTGGTAAGAGGCTCATCCCACGTGTGTGGCAGAGCTGGAGAACGAGATTGGACAGCGGGGGCTGAGACACATGGCGCCACCCCACCCCTCAGTGTGGTGCCACCTCCCCCACCTGGCAGTGTGATGCCATCCCCGCCCTGTCCCTCTACCTGCCTGACCTCACGGCAGCAGCACTAATAGCAAGCACAGGCACGGGGGGAGGCATATGATCATCACGGCTGTGGGCAAACAAAGACAAATTAATATTATTGCAACGGACATACTAAATGCGTCTGTCTGGCTGATGATCTTAACTGGGGTTTATTTTTGAGATAGGGCTTATATTACAAGCATCCTGAAAAATCATGCTAGGGCGTATGTTGGTCTTATTTTTGGAGAAACACGGTAGGCACACTGCACAGAAGATAGGCAAAATATATTTACTTTTTTAAACTGCAGCTATCATTTTCAAATAAGACAATTTGTAGCAATAGGCATTTTTGGAATCATTTTTTTTTAAATTTCAGAAGATTTGGTTATGTTAGCCTGTTATTAAGGAATCAATCTTCTGAATGGATTATACTCCATGGATCCTTATATTACCCTTATAAATTTAGGAAGTTTTAAAGTGTTGCATCACAAACTGTTGTAGTGTTTCTGTATCATGCTGCAGCGTATGGGCTCCATTTCAGGACTGAGCCATTTAAGTATAATGTTTTGGTCTTTTCCCCTTTTTCTTTTCTTTTTTTCTGTTCATTTTTGTTTTTTCCTTCTATTTATTTAAGTAAATAAAATATTTAAAAAGTAATGTTCTAAGTAGTAATGTTTTAAGTAGTAAATATAAGTGGAAAGGGATGATTTGCAGAGTATTATCTAATGAGAGTTCTTATCTGCAATGCAAAGTGACATAGCCAAATACAGATTTGATTCTTTGAGAATCAGGCTGCAGAAATATGATTGTATTAACCATTGTGTGGTTAGGCTAGATCGAATAAGAGACAGAGCCTTCTTAGCAATAGAGAACTCCCTCCACAGGGAATATTAGGGGCTTGTTCAATTTTATTTTCTACATCATTAAGTCCATTTTATTTAGGCAAACATTTCAGAAAATGGGAATTCAATTACATACATAGTTGATGCTTTACTGAATTTATTTTCTCAATAAAATTTTCTAAAGTGCTAAGCATATTATATTTAATAAGATTAAAAAACACTTACCACATTTTTCATTAAAAAGATTTTCAACTTTCTGTTTCAAATCAGTAATCTTGGCATTCCAGGCCTCTGTCAAAATATAATGGAAATTATTTTATTCAATCCTACTATATTTTTGTTTCCCTGATTACTCAGTTGGATTTCTTCAAAACCAGTTTCTGATAGATTCCAGAACACATAATATGGAATAAAATTACATTGCTTATTAGTGCGTTCCCTCACTGATTTAATGTTTTGGCTACAGACCTTAAAATGTCAAAAGTTTTTTACTACCAAGAAACTACCAACATCTAAGTTACTGAGCTACAAAGTAGAATTGATAGCTGAAGATATGTAGAATGTATTAATGCACAACCTAGTAGATATGTAAATATCCCATTTTCTAATTAACAATTCTAATAAATTAAGAAGCTTATGTCAACGCTGCTAACATCAGATGTTTTTGCATTGACAACTAATGGAAATGTAGTCATCTTTTACCTTTTGCTTTTAGAGTTAGATGATGCTGGGAGGTGGGAGGTGAACGAGAGTTCAGCTAGACATAACAACATTAAACCTAGCACGAGAAACAAGGTTATTGTAACCAGAGCTGATAAGGAATTGGCGGGCTGGAGAACTGGAGAGAAAGCCCTCTTTCAAGCTAATTGGGGAATGTGATTTATGATTGTTAATTGGAGGAGGGAATTGTGCTTTGATACTATGTGCTCAGTGGGGGAATTCAGTTTTTGGCTTCGATTATGCAGTGCCGGTTATGCTTCTCAAATAAAAGATTCTTTAAGGTAAACAATGCCTCAAGGTTCTTTTGAAGAGTTTCATCTGTCAGAACCATGACATCTTAATTTAACATAAAAGAAAATTTTCTCATGAACTTACCAAAAGAAAATTCTCTTCCTCTTGGCTTAAAGCCTGTATTGGATCCATTGGTTTGAGGATTAGTTTTAACATCTGAGGTTGATACCTTATTTGCAGGACCTACAATATATTGAAACATAACAAATACATTCCATTTTAGAACTAGCTTTAAGTTTCAAATTCACAGTGCATATCCTGAATGTGCAGTCAAAATTTCCAGTTTTTCTAAAAACTTAGTCTGCATAGCACACCTTCATCTGAGAATGTAAAAGACATATCACATGAGGCAATTTACTCTAAACTATTCTCACAGTAGTTGCAACTGAATAATGTCATATATTTAAAAAGCAGAAATAATTGCTTTTAAAGCTACAATGCCCCATCAACTGCTTTGTTCAAGCAAGCTGACTGATTAAATGATGGGAAAAGAAAAGCAGTGATATTCAGAATATTTGATTGTTGAAATGAGAAGTTTCAAATTCTCCAAGATCATCATAGAACCTGGTTCCAATAATGACTTTTTTCAAAGTTTCAACAAAATATCCAGGCCATTTTGAGTTGTGTTCTGATAAAAATTTCCAAGTGGGCCTATTTCCTACATAATCCTAAACAGTTATCTCTAAAGGGAAATAACTGGGGAATTCCATACCTTCATCTACAGTAACTTCAATCTCTGGAACTTTAGAGTTGCTTAAAGGACTTGGTGTAGAGTTTGAGCTGCTGGGACTCTGAGATCCTACAGAGATGTTTATTTGTATACATTAGAAATCATTTGTTTTTGCATGATTTAGGCAACTATATATGGAAACTGTTTATCATTAATAAAATATAAATATGTTACATTTTTGCCAGCAGATTTAATAGGTGGAGAAATGGCTTTTTGTCCTTTCTAATAAAGAGTTTACCATTAAGTTGCATTTTATGATGACCTAGACCAGGGGTAGGCAACCTTGACTCTTTTATGACTTGTGGACTTCAACTCCCAGAATTCCTGAGCCAGCCATGCTGAGGGAAAAGGGAGAGGTTTCCAAGCTGAGCTATGCTGGCTCAGGAATTCTGGGAGTTGAAGTCCACGAGTCATAAAAGAGCCAAGGTTGCCTACCCCTGACCTAGACAAAGGGCACATAGGGAGGTATAGCAGTGAGATGAATGGAAACAGAGCATTATTCAAGGGAGCCTTGAATAAAATAAGATCCTTTAAGTCTACTGGAAAAAATAAAGAACTAACCTGTTTTTCATTTCTATAATAAAATCCCAGAAATAATGTAACACCAAACCAACGATATTTTGCCACTAAATGTTGATGAAACAAAACATTCTTTCCTAACTAAGCTAAAACTCCCATTTGTTATAGCACCTAAAACCTGATAAACTTTTGTATTCAGGTTGTTTTCTTGATCACAGAAAAAACATGCTTATTCCAACGATCTTTCTACTAGAACAAGAGAAAGAGGGACACACTTTGAAAAACATTTCTTCCACGGAGCATCCCTCAATTGATGCGTCTCAATTAACCAGCATCCTAAATCACAGAAAGAAGTAATACTAATCTCAAACAGTGGGGGTCCTGATGCTCTCCAAGCTTGGTTGTTTTCTTGCAAATGTTTCATTACCAAATTAGATAACATCATCAATGCTAATCCAAAATCTGAAGTTACATAGCAAACTATGTAGGAAAGAGAATAGATATGATTCAACAGCCACCACAAATTTCAGCAGAACTGCTTTCAAAAGTATGATGTATGGCGCAATATATTAAGACAATGAAAGCCTCTTTTCTTTGCATTCATTTTTAAAATGCGTATATCCTCTTTCAACACCAGATTTTTCCATTTTGTAGTATTACAGCTTCTTAGTCACTTACCTGAAATATTCACTTTACAAGCCAATTCTGGAGGCAAGTATGAGGTAACAAGCTCTGGCCTACAAATCAGACAGTTTATTTTTATTAAAGCATTTTCACAATCACTCAAGTTACATAAGTTACCCGTCTATGGGATTACTGTAGGGAATTATATTATGTTTGGGGAGATTTTGCAGGGAAAATGGACCTTAGAAGGAAGTGATCTCTTTTGTTAGGATTAAGAAACAATTAGTCAACACTTTGTAAACATCACCTACTGCAGTGGTCTCCAACCTTTCTGGCTTGGCGGCCCGGTGGGGGAGGAGGGGAGAACCGGGCCATGTGAGCAGCAGGTGCGTGCACACCAGCCCACCACTCATGGGGCCTGGTTCCAAATAAGCCATGACCTGATAGTGGGCCACGGCCCAGGTGTTGGGGACCCCTGACCTACTGTACCCATTTTTAAATAGCAGAAATGTACAGTGCCACAGCAAACCATATTTATATATTATTTTGAGCTCAGAATACATTACGACTGTATTATGTCCTTCAATCCTATTTACACTTTGAAATGAATAATTGATAATAATCAAAAATGCTTTTGGCATCTGTTGTGCTAATGGGAAAGCTTTCTAACGACAATCTGTATCTCATTCAAAATGTAAGTTTCAATGTCCCCAAGTGTCTTAGCCTCAAAGATTCAGCAAACCAAATTAAAAAACATATTAACTATCTCTATGAACATATGGGCTAAGGTCACAATTAAATGGATGTCTTGTTGAATTAAGAAACCTACCAGACACAGGACAATAAAAATGAAATCCAAGGAATGCTACAAAATAATAAACTCATTAAAAAGTAACTATCCACGTACTTCTTCACAATGAATTTAATTTTTCCACTGCCCCGCACAATTCTTTCCAGGCGTGGGATTCCAAACCAGGTTGGGCTTCGAAAGGGGATCCCTTCAGGCAAACCTTCCACATATAGATGATCAGGATTTGACTCAAAGACAGGATAAGGAACTTTCACTGCTTCACCGAGACCCAGAGCTTGTCCTGCAAAGGAGGAGGCAAGAACTTGATCTGGATCAAACTCCTGTCATAGAAATGGCATTCAAAGGTAAAATTCACTCACCAAAGGAACAGATATTTACTCAATCTTTCTAAGGCTACTTAAAAGTAATTCAGGTTTTGTTTATTATTGTATTGGTGATACCAAGTATACAAAATCTTGAAAACACTAAACTTTCCTTTAGTCAAATGAAAGGGCTTTTTAAAAACTTTGCTGAAGCTCTCAATAAAAAAAAATTGTGTACAGTCATCCTTTTAAAACAGGAATGACAATTCCAATCTTTTCAGAATGTCTTACACAGACATTAATCCAGTATAAATTTCATTTTAGCATGGCAAGACAACTCAATTCTGAATCTCCTTCTCTGCTGCCTCAGAGAAAGTAAGAATGGTATAAAGAGATAGTTCTCCAAGTGCATTTCAGCACTTATACCACTTGATTTGTATCTCCCTGAAGAAATACAATTATTTGCTGTCTTTTCCCATTTTTTTCATGTGAAAATTAGATCAGCTATTCAAAAGCCTACTGGGATTAATGGTGATCTGTATCCAAAAAAAGATCAAAGCAAGACATCAGAAATGCTCTAGAGATAAATAATAAATAAATAATCCATTAACATTGTCTCACATATGTTCTAGAAATCTTGGCTTGTGCAGTATCACTCACATTCTTTCCAAACACAAGCAAAGCAATTAATCAGAACACCAGACATATGAATACGATTTACAATTTATTGTGTCCATTTTCACGAAACATCGGTACTACCAAGCACACAAACAATGTTTCACCTACCAAATTTCATATTAAATATCTCTTCTACTTGCTTCCTCAATTTTGTAATTCTGACATTCCAATCTTCTTTGACTGGAATTAAAATAAAATTTGAAAAATATAGATTGCACATTTAGTAATAAGATACAGTGGTATTTAATAGATGTACATTCTACTTACAAAAAAGCTTAGTTACAAAAAAAGTATCCGTCAAATAATGTCATTTACTGATTATTAGATTTTACTGTCTCACAAATATTATTTACTCCTCTATAATTATCTTGGGCCAGGCAATCATTCAAATTGGATTTGGAGTACTATGATTTATAGTCAGTTTTTAGATGATGGCTTTCCTACAGATAATAATAATAATAATAATAATAATAATAATAATAATAATTATTATTATTATTATTATTACTTATTATTATTACTTTAATTTATACCCCGCCCTTCTCCCGAAGGACTCAGGGCGGCTTACAGGCAATAAAAACGGAACTATACAATAAATATCTAAAAACAATTAAAATATATATTAAATAAGCCTGTTATTTTTAGAAAAGTTATAAAATCCCTATTAAAATCCCTATACAATCCCCCCCCTAGGCCAATCCCGCTTGNATTGTAACCAGAGCTGATAAGGAATTGGCGGGCTGGAGAACTGGAGAGAAAGCCCTCTTTCAAGCTAATTGGGGAATGTGATTTATGATTGTTAATTGGAGGAGGGAATTGTGCTTTGATACTATGTGCTCAGTGGGGGAATTCAGTTTTTGGCTTCGATTATGCAGTGCCGGTTATGCTTCTCAAATAAAAGATTCTTAAGGTAAACAATGCCTCACGGTTCTTTTGAAGAGTTTCATCTGTCAGAACCATGACATCTTAATTTAACATAAAAGAAAATTTTCTCATGAACTTACCAAAAGAAAACTCTCTTCCTCTTGGCTTAAAGCCTGTATTAGATCCATTGGTTTGAGGATTAGTTTTAACATCTGAGGTTGATACCCTATTTGCAGGACCTACAATATATTGAAACATAACAAATACATTCCATTTTAGAACTAGCTTTAAGTTTCAAATTCACAGTGCATATCCTGAATGTGCAGTCAAAATTTCCAGTTTTTCTAAAAACCTAGTCTGCATAGTACACCTTCATCTGAGAATGTAAAAGACATATCACATGAGGCAATTTACTCTAAACTATTCTCACAGTAGTTGCAACTGAATAATGTCATATATTTAAAAAGCAGAAATAATTGCTTTTAAAGCTACAATGCCCCATCAACTGCTTTGTTCAAGCAAGCTGGCTGATTAAATGATGGGAAAAGAAAAGCAGTGATATTCAGAATGTTTGATTGTTGAAATGAGAAGTTTCAAATTCTCCAAAATCTTCACAGATCCTGGTTCCAATAATGACTTTTTTCAAAGTTTCAACAAAATATCCAGGCCATTTTGAGTTGTGTTCTGATAAAAATTTCCCAAGTGGGCCTATTTCCTACATAATCCTAAACAGTTATCTCTAATAATTGGGGAATTCCATACCTTCATCTACAGTAACTTCAATCTCTGGAACTTTAGAGTTGCTCAAAGGACTTGGTGTAGAGTTTGAGCTGCTGGGACTCTGAGATCCTACAGAGATGTTTATTTGTATACATTAGAAATCATTTGTTTTTGCATGATTGAGGCAACTATATATGGAAACTGTTTATCATTAATAAAATATAAATGCGTTACATTTTTGCCAGCAGATTTAATAGGTGGAGAAACATTCCTCTTTTTGCACAGTATAAAACTAAATGGCTTTTTGTCCTTTCTAATAAAGAGTTTACCATTAAGTTGCATTTTATGATGACCTAGACCAGGGGCAGGCAACCTTGGCTCTTTTATGACTTGTGGACTTCAACTCCCAGAATTCCTGAGCCAGCCATGCTGAGGGAAAAGGGAGAGGTTTCCAAGCTGAGCTATGCTGGCTCAGGAATTCTGGGAGTTGAAGTCCATGAGTCATAAAAGAGCCAAGGTTGCCTACCCCTGACCTAGACAAAGGGCACATAGGGAGGTATAGCAGTGAGATGAATGGAAACAGAGCATTATTCAAGGGAGCCTTGAATAAAATAAGATCCTTTAAGTCTACTGGAAAAAATAAAGAACTAACCTGTTTTTCATTTCTATAATAAAATCCCAGAAATAATGTAACACCAAACCAACGATATTTTGCCACTAAATGTTGATGAAACAAAACATTCTTTCCTAACTAAGCTAAAACTCCCATTTGTTATAGCACCTAAAACCTGATAAACTTTTGTATTCAGGTTATTTTCTTGATCACAGAAAAAACATGCTTATTCCAACGATCTTTCTACTAGAACAAGAGAAAGAGGGACACATTTTGAAAAACATTTCTTCCACGGAGCATCCCTCAATTGATGCATCTCAATTAACCAGCATCCTAAATCACAGAAAGAAGTAATACTAATCTAAAACAGTGGGGTCCTGATGCTCTCCAAGCTTGGTTGCTTTCTTGCAAATGTTTCATTACCAAATTAGATAACATCATCAATGCTAATCCAAAATCTGAAGTTACATAGCAAACTATGTAGGAAAGAGAATAGATATGATTCAACAGCCACCACAAATTTCAGCAGAACTGCTTTCAAAAGTATGATGTATGGCGCAATATATTAAGACAATGAAAGCCTCTTTTCTTTGCATTCATTTTTAAAATGCGTATATCCTCTTTCAACACCAGATTTTTCCATTTTGTAGTATTACAGCTTCTTAGTCACTTACCTGAAATATTCACTTTACAAGCCAATTCTGGAGGCAAGTATGAGGTAACAAGCTCTGGCCTACAAATCAGACAGTTTATTTTTATTAAAGCATTTTCACAATCACTCAAGTTACATAAGTTACCCGTCTATGGGGTTACTGTAGGGAATTATATTGTGTTTGGGGAGATTTTGCAGGGAAAATGGACCCTAGAAGGAAGTGATCTCTTTTGTTAGGATTAAGAAACAATTAGTCAACACTTTGTAAACATCACCTACTGCAGTGGTCTCCAACCTTTCTGGCTTGGCGGCCCGGTGGGGGAGGAGGGGAGAACCGGGCCATGTGAGCAGCAGGTGCATGCACACCAGCCCACCACTCATGGGGCCTCGTTCCAAATAAGCCATGACCTGATAGTGGGCCACGGCCCAGGTGTTGGGGACCCCTGACCTACTGTACCCATTTTTAAATAGCAGAAATGTACAGTGCCACAGCAAGCCATATTTATATATTATTTTGAGCTCAGAATACATTACGACTGTATTATGTCCTTCAATCCTATTTACACGTTGAAATGAATAATTGATAATAATCAAAAATGCTTTTGGCATCTGTTGTGCTAATGGGAAAGCTTTCTAACGACAATCTGTATCTCATTCAAAATGTAAGTTTCAATGTCCCCAAGTGTCTTAGTCTCAAAGATTCAGCAAACCAAATTAAAAATCATATTAACTATCTCTATGAACATATGGGCTAAGGTCACAATTAAATGGATGTCTTGTTGAATTAAGAAACCTACCAGACACAGGACAATAAAAATGAAATCCAAGGAATGCTACAAAATAATAAACTCATTAAAAAGTAACTATCCACGTACTTCTTCACAATGAATTTAATTTTTCCACTGCCCCGCACAATTCTTTCCAGGCGTGGGATTCCAAACCAGGTTGGGCTTCGAAAGGGGATCCCTTCAGGCAAACCTTCCACATACAGATGATCAGGATTTGACTCAAAGACAGGATAAGGAACTTTCACTGCTTCACCGAGACCCAGAGCTTGTCCTGCAAAGGAGGAGGCAAGAACTTGATCTGGATCAAACTCCTGTCATAGAAATGGCATTCAAAGGTAAAATTCACTCACCAAAGGAACAGATATTTACTCAATCTTTCTAAGGCTACTTAACAGTAATTCAGGTTTTGTTTATTATTGTATTGGTGATACCAAGTATACAAAATCTTGAAAACACTAAACTTTCCTTTAATCAAATGAAAGGGCTTTTTAAAAACTTTGCTGAAGCTCTCAAAAAAAATGTGTACAGTCATCCTTTTAAAACAGGAATGACAATTCCAATCTTTTCAGAATGTCTTACACAGACATTAATCCAGTATAAATTTCATTTTAGCATGGCAAGACAACTCAATTCTGAATCTCCTTCTCTGCTGCCATGACTAATTTCTTTGCCACTGGCTCAGAGAGAGTAAGGATGGTATAAAGAGATAGTTCTCCAAATGGATTTCAGCACTTATACCACTTGATTTGTATCTCCCTGAAGAAATACAATTATTTGCTGTCTTTTCCCATTTTTTTCATGTGAAAATTAGATCAGCTATTCAAAAGCCTACTGGGATTAATGGTGATCTGTATCCAAAAAAAGATCAAAGCAAGACATCAGAAATGCTCTAGAGATAAATAATAAATAAATAATCCATTAACATTGTCTCACATATGTTCTAGAAATCTTGGCTTGTGCAGTATCACTCACATTCTTTCCAAACACAAGCAAAGCAATTAATCAGAACACCAGACATATGAATACGATTTAACAATTTATTGTGTCCATTTTCACGAAACATCGGTACTACCTAGCACACAAACAATGTTTCACCTACCAAATTTCATATTAAATATCTCTTCTACTTGCTTCCTCAATTTTGTGATTCTGACATTCCAATCTTCTTTGACTGGGATTAAAATAAAATATGAAAAATATAGATTGCACATTTAGTAATAAGATACAGTGGTATTTAATAGATGTACATTCTACTCCAAAAAAGCTTAGTTACAAAAAAGTATCCGTCAAATAATGTCATTTACTGATTATTAGATTTTACTGTCTCACTTTGGAGTACTATGATTTATAGTCAGTTTTTAGATGATGGCTTTCCTGCAGATAATAATAATAATAATAATAATAATAATAATAATAATAATAATGATGATGATGATGATGATGATGATGAGGAGGAGGAGGAGGAGGAGGAAGTTGTTTGAAAGTTCAGGCTGTTTAAGTTATGATTAGATCCAATCATTCCTTGGTATGCCATCTGATTAATCCTATATATGCAGCAACATATCTAGATTGATTTAACTTTGTCAGGACGGGACCAATATTTGCAGTTAAAATATTTAGATGTGCTTAGATCTCATCTTTTGCTGCAACAGAGACAATTTACAAAAACATATAAACCCTATTTATTTTACTCATCATTAAGACTACACAAAAAATTGTTTTATAATCTTACAATGTTACAATCCATAGACTGGTTTTCAAAAGACTATTTACTTGCCCGACTACAAAATACAGATTTTCCATCTTAAACTACTCAATAATCTAACTTTGTTTATACAATAAAAGAGTACTGAATAATGAAAGACCATCTGTACGTTTAGGACTGCAAGATTTTAAACTGGATTAAACTTATTTAGACAAAACATTTTAATAGTTCCAATTGCTAATTGAATCAATTGTTCCATTTAAACATCTAAATTGTAATTGCTAAAAATTAAAGCTGGTCCTCTAATTATGGATGATATTCTATCCAAAATAATGAACAGCATGTCTTAGAATCTGTATCAGACCATCCGTGCCTTTTTAACTTGAAGAGTAAAATGAGAGCAAATGTAACTTCAGCCCATAAGGGGTTAATGAGTTTATTCCAGGTTTCATTTTTCTTCCCACCATGATAAACATGCCAGATATATTCAGAAACCAGTGTTAATAACATACTTCCAATTACAGGAATAAGGAGGCAAAAGGTGAACCAGCTATGTAGACAAGGAGACTTTATAAGTAACCCCAGGTGGCATGACCAATGAGGAGGCATACTGGGAATTTTAACATTTGGAAGATTGCTTATTTCTATATGGTAAGCATTGTCAAACCCTTGTCTTTCCAATCACACAGTAGGTAAGTAAAGACAGAGATTATCAAAAAGGGAAAAAATGAAGCTATCTTAGAAAAAAAAATGAAGTTCCATACTCTGTATCTCTAGATGAAAATGGGAAGAGAAAAAAGAAAGGCACCTCTACCTGAAGTGGGGAAACATTTTGCTATCGTATTAAGAAACACTTGTCTTACCTGGCATGTTTGTTCTTGGTTGAGTAACCTCTGTGGAAGTGATTGTGAGTAGTTCTGGCCTACAATTTAAAAAATACAGACAATGATTCTATGGTACTTATCCTTCAAATATTTAGTGTCTCTTTTCTGAATTATATATTATGAAAATTATTTTGAAACAACTCCATTAGGTTGTAGCAAAATGCAAAATAGGACAGATTCTACTCATTAATTTTAAATGCATTTAAAAATATAAACCCTATTTGTTTTACTCATCATTAAGACTACACAAAAAATTGTTTTATAATCTTACAATGTTACAATCCATAGACTGGTTTTCAACTGGGGTCCCCGACTTTCACACTCACACAAGGGATGCACATGCATTCATCAGCAGGTCAACAAGACAGGGGGTTCCCTTCTAGCTCTGAAATATGCTGTCATTTTTATCTTGTTAGACAAAACCTACCTACCATTTTATTTTCTAAAAACATCTCTGAGATGTACACAAGGCCTATACGCTTGACTGGAATAAAGGTAAATTCTGATGCTTCGCAGTACGGTGACTTGCTTTAAGTTAAAAGAATCTGAAGAAAAATCTGAAATATGGAACAGATCATAAAGGACTCAACTGGGAACTTGCACAAGTTAAATTAAAAAAGGAAAAGAAAGGCAAAGAGTTTCTTTAATAAGATCTTGACCTCATCTCCACCATTTTCAAAGAGAACATTAGGAATCGGTTTGAAGTACTAACCATAATTGCTAGAGAACCAGAGGAATTGTGGAATGAACTTAAAAATGTTAAGGATGAATGTGAAAAGATGCTGCCAAATATGAAGAAACAGAAGAAAGCAAACTGGATACGCTTTCCAAACTACTTGGTGCAGCAGCCATGAAGGCCTTGGAAAAGATACTCAAATGCTGTGATGCATCTGTAACTACAAAAGATCAGAACAGATCAAGAAACGGTATTCCCTGAAATACTCTGTACAAGCAAAAGTTGGACTAAGAATATTGTGGACAGCCAAGAAAACAAAACAAAAACTGGATCATCAAATCAGTCAATCGAGAATTCTTACTTGAAGCACAAATGACCAGATTCAAAATATCCTAGTTTTTACATGTATGTATGTGTATATACAGATTTTGGAAACATTATTTAAACAGCATGACACAGAAAAAAGATTCATTGTATTTTAACACTACCAGAAATAAATTCCATACAATTATTTTATTCCCTTAATATATATTATATTGCTTAAAATTGGATTGTTTTTATCTTGTAAATGTAATAAGAACATATTGAAGTGCACAGGTAATTGGTCTTACTTTTTTATTACAAACTTTATCCTATTCCCCACTTGAAGAATTTTCTCCAGCCGAGGGATTCCATACCAAGAGGGACTCCGAAATGGAATATTCTCTGGCAAACCTTCCACATAAAGATCAGTGGGATGTGCTTCAAATTTCTGGTAAGGTACGGCCTTTGGTTCATTGCTTCCCAAAGCCTCAGCTATTAAAAAACATAGCAACACAAAGCACTCAGGTTCCGTGCAAGAACAAGACATAAGCTACAAATATCTACAAATATCCTGATTTATAAAACAGCAACTCAGAAATAGGCTAAACTTATACAGTGGTACCTCTGTACTTATCCTTAACTAATTCCGAGAGGAACGACGGGTATTAAAAAGGATGAGTACCAAAACAATGTGACTGACCATGTGACCCTTTGTTTCTGCCATGAAGGATTTCCTATCTGTCCCTATCTGTCAGCGACCTTCCCATCATGGCTGATTTCCTCTCTGCTTTCTGCATTTGTCACCTGCTTTCTTTTGCAGTGACCTTCCTAGGATGGCCTATTTCAGGGGTGCAGGCCACGCCCAGCCCGGCTCCGCAAAGGCAAAAAACGTCACGATATGTCACGTGATGCAATCAAGTTTGACACCCGTGGCCTATTTCCTGTTCACTCTCTGCAGCTGCCCCCATTTCCTTTTGCAGTGCGTCAAGTACCAAACAATGAGTACCGTGACAACATTTTTCACACCAAAGTGCATCAAGTACCAAATTCAATGAGTTTTGAAGCAGCCAAGTACGGAGATATCACTGTACTTGTTAATTTTTTTTAACACTCTTTCTCTCATAAAAATTATTTTTCCTTTTTTTCCTTAGATCATTGTCGAGGGCAGAATTCTCATTGTAAAGTAATACATTTATTATTTTTAATAATTAAGTAATCAATAATTATAATTAGATTTAGAGATCACCAGATTCCAAGACTCTGGATGCTTTATACTATACAAAAGCAAGTAGATGGAGAAGCTGTCCACTCTTTTGGAAATAATTATAAGAGACTAGTTTCCCAGTACAGAAAGAAGAGTCATGCCCAAACTGGTAGACCTTTTTTTAGGTACTGTAATGGGATTGGGAAGGAAATCCTGCTCACACACACATACACCAACTTGACGATGGTTCACATGAGTGGTTTAAAAGACGTCTTATTGACTAGATGGTAAAAGGAATCAAAACATTAAGACCGTATGGTAAGAAGAAAGTGATATTAGTCACTACTTTTGTTCCTAAAATGATTTTATCAATTATAAGGTTCCCGTTAAGAAATAAAAGAGTCTTTTGAGGTAAAGTGAAACGGTAGGTAAGGATCTTGAAGGATGAAACATTTTAGTAGAGGAAAAGGCCAGAGAAAGAAGCTTTTGCTAAGTGCATTTATAAGCAATAGCTATCAAGGACAGTGAAACTATAATAAGGGACAATAAAACAAATAAGGGCAGATATCATAGCTTCTCTAAGCAACTAGACCAGTGGTGACGAACCTATGGCACGTGTGCCAGAGGCGGCACTCGGAGCCCTCTCTGTGGGCACACGCACCGTCGCCACAGCCCCGCCTCCTCCCACGGCCCCCTCCTCACCAGCAGCCCTCCGAAGGAGAGTCGCCCCCGGGCACAGCCCATGCAATGCTGCGCAGCCAAGGACATGGTAGCTGGGCAGCGGGGACAAGATTCCACCCTTGCATCCCATCGCACGCAGATGATGCTGCAGGGCACAGGCGGAGGGCGTGGCCACCATGGCGCTGCTGGGCTGCCTGGGTGATCTGTGGCGGGCCGTGGAGGTGATGCGTGGTCCAGCGGGCATGGCGGAGCGGGGACGGGGGGGTTGGGCACTCGGTCTCTAAAAGGTTTGCCATCACTGCACTAGATAAATAAAGGCAAATATATGTGTCCCAGGTAGTAGTAGTAGCTACCTCTGGTCCCAATGACCGACCCATAATGGATCCTGCACTAGACAGATAACTAGCCATGTGACAAGGACCAAAAAAAGAGTGATCAGGGCAAAGGGATATACCAGAAAATGGACATCTGACTTCAGAGTAGCTATAAAAGCCTAAATATCTAGTTCGGCAGGAAATAAGCCCATTGAAATTTCAGCTCTTCTAATATTTACAGCATATTGGTAGCACAGGTATCCACAATATATATGGAGAGATGGTGTTAACATGCATCTATATATACGCGTGAGAAAAAAAGAGAATGAATGCATACACTGCAAACTTGGCATTTACAACTTCTTGGCCTATGTACAAAGGGTGGAGCACATGTCATGGTATTATGACACAAGTCATCATTTTTGCAGCACTGTGGTTAGGGAAGGGATCCCATGACTGGTAGAAACAAGGTCTTAAAACGTATTCAAACCACTGAGACAGATAATCTAGTTTTTTTTCTTAATTGGTACAATTTTACTGATTCTCAAGAAGAATCAGAAGTCACTAGCTGCAAACGTTAGGAATAAAACGAACACCAAAATAAGTGTCAGTGGACTTCATTAGGAGATGAATTCCAAGCTCAGGTTCTTACAACCATGAATACCTTGTCAATGATTGACTATCAACCTCCCATCAAAAATTGTGCACAAATCTACATCAAATGTGGCCATACTTACCCCCTGTAACTGGTTTATCTAATGGTAAATCTTCTCGCGTTGAATTTAGCAGCTCATGCCTGCAAACATTCAAACAAAATATGTATTTCAGCAATTAACATTCCACTCTGATTACAAATTTTAGCCCATAGCAAACATTGTATGCTATCTCCTCATTCCCACAAACAGAGAAATTAAACAAGCACATGTTTTACAATGAGAGAAGACCAAATTATAGCAGAGATTTATAAACTTAAATTAAGAACACCTTCATTCAACAGGAAAACACACTACGCAGGAATGTGATAAACCAAGTTTGGCTTGAGAAGATGGTACACTGGACTTACCATAAAAGTTAATTTTCTAAGCAGAGAGAGGGTATCGAGTAGTGGGCATCTTCTCCCACACATCTTGGAGGCAGGGCTTAGATTTCTTCTAATCCTACTTTCCAGTGGGAAAAGGATAAGCTATTTCCCAGTTTCAGAATAAGCCAGAAAAAGACGCAAAGATAAAATACTTGAGAAAACTAGAAATAAAGAGGCAGATATGGGGGGGGGGGGGGGTTGAAACTTTTCTGCCATAATTATTAGTGAGCTGGAGGCCCTGGCTCTGCTCCAAACTAGACTTTCACAGTAAATCCAAGGATTGTTTGCCCAGAAAGGCAGGGCATCCAATAGAACAGTAGTTTTCATAGTGTGGTCTGCAGACACCTGAAGAGGTCCCTAAAGCACTTTCAGGAGATTCCCAATGTCAAACTATTTCCACAATAACACTGAGACATTATTTTTCTTTTTCGTTTTTGCTCTCTCATGAATCTACAGGGGAGTAAAACTGCTGATGCCTTGATGCAAATTAGTGCCACCAAACTAAACTAGAAGTCACTGTAAGACAGTGGTTCTCAACCTGTGGGTCGGGACCCCATTTGGGGTCTATCGACCATTTCACGGGGGTCGCCAAGCAAGGCTGTCCGCCATTTTTTGTCTGCCATTTTTTTCCCCCTTTTCCGGCGGGTGCCTTACCTCCGTTGGGCTGGGACAGCTGGTGGTCGGCCTGCTCCGTCTCTGCCGCTTGCCAGCTATGCCTCGGCTGGCGCAGGGGGTGGAACCACGCATGCGCGGCGGTCCCAGGCAGGGAAAGTCCTCGACTTACGACCGGTTGGGTAGTCCTCGACTTATGACCGGTTTAATCCTCGACTTACGACCGGTTTAGTCCTCGACTTACGACCGGTTTAGTCCTCGACTTACGACCGGTTGGGGTCGCAGCATTAAAAAGGTTGAGAACCACTGCTGTAAGAGCTATGGTGGCGCAGTGGTCAGAATGCAGTATTGCAGGCTGATTCTACTGACTGCCAGTTCAAGGTTAACTCAGCCTTCCGTCCTTCTGAGGACGGAATGAGGACCCAGATTGTTGGGGACAATATGCTGACTCGGTAAACTGCTTAGAGAGGGCTGTAAAGCATTATGAAGCGGTATATAAGTCTAAAGGCTAGTGCTATTTCAATTGCTGTTCTTCACTGCCACACACGGAAAAAAGGGTTTAACTTCAAAAAGTGTCCTTAATGAAGCAATGAAAATTATTCATTTTATTAAAACTCAATCCTTGAGTTTTGACATCTTTTTAATGCTCTATGTGATGAAATTGAAAGTATACATAAAGCACTCCTGCTGCATACAGAAGTATGCTGCTTGCTCAAAGAAAAACATTTATGTGATTGAATTGCAAGCTAAACTAACTGCTTTTTTCATGGAACATTTTTATTTGAAAGAATGACTGGCAAACTACAGTTATTTGGACTTGAGCATTTGGCAGATATTTTCTCGAAATGTCAAATCTTTCAGCCACAGTTGCTTCCTAATGGACAAACCAACTGTCATGCCTCTAGCTGAAAACTGTGCATTAACTAGGCATGGCAGTCTGAGTTTTCTATGCTTAGGGACATGAGTAGTTAATTGCTAGATCCAGAGAACAGAAGCCCAGGCAGAGACATTAGTGGTAAGGCAGTCCAGGCAGTCCTTGTTGCCTTATCAGAACTGCACTATATTATCTCTAGGTCTAGCCTGACCGCTAGGGGCTTGGGGTATTTTCACCATTTTTATTCATTGTGGCCCCAAGACTCGTGCCACCAGAAAGGTATCCAGTAAAGGAATGGACTTGAAAACTTAATGGCAAGGCAGGAGTGCCCCTTACTCCCCCCCCCCCCGAGACCTTCCACTCCGGTTTGAAGAGTTTGTTAAATATCTCAGGAAATGGAAAACACATGATGGGGATGCAAGTCACCAGGAACACCTCTGCTATCAGAAGATCTACAGGAGCAGAGGGCTCTGTTTTCTACAGGCAAGAGTCCTGCAGACTTTCCTGAATACTTGTAGAAAATTTGCTTTCAAAAAATCCTGGTGGACTGGCTTTAAGTTCTCTTTCTTACCTAGGGACAATTCTTCCTCCTCTTCTCTATGACTGGTCTAAGGAATAACCTGAGTCAGATGCCAAAAAAGGTAGACTAAAAGTCCCCCCCCCTCTCTCTTTGGTGCTTGCCCTTTCTGATGAGAATCTGGTGAGAACACATCTGATGAAGAGAAGGACCCAAGGATAAGCAAGGCTTTCCCCATCTCCCTCTTTGTGCCTTCCCTGTTCCCACCTTCTTCCTCCTTCCTGGGGTGGGTGATGGAAGGGTAGATTCATTCCAATGAAATCATGCCGTGTAGTGTCTGGGCCAACAAACTCCAAAGAGAAGCAATGACAATCCCTCTGGCAGTTGTAAGCAACATGTGGCTTGGTAACCGCAACACTGGTCATGTTTCCCTGAAGGGAATGTGGCAGTGAGTTGAAGGGCAATCCCTTCTTTGGCTGCACTCACCAGAGAAATTCTCTACTGTCCATGGATAGGAATTCCCATCTGTGAGTTGTTAGTCATGAGAGCCAATTAGGTTTTTTTAACGAAGGAAAATAAAGGGGAAAGTAAAGGGAAAAGGGGAAAAAAAAGAAATGATTATCTATAACAGTGTATCTCAACCTCAACAACTTTTAAAATATGTGGACTTCGACTCCCAAACTTCCCCAGCCAGCATAAGTCCATTTATCTTAAAATTGCTGAGGTTTAGAAACATTGATCTATGTTAACATGTGGATAGCTGTCAGAACTCTTGTATAGATCTATTCCCCAAAGGAAGACAAGGCTAGAACTGGGGAAGGGAACTATTCCCCTCCCATAGGAAGAAGGATTAAGAGGAAACTAGGCCCTGCCTCTAGGATGAGTGGGAGAAGATACTATCGGGTGCCCTGGCTCCACTGTTGCAAAATGGTCAAAGTGCTTCTTCACTAGCAAACAAAGATGCAAATGGTTTTAGGAATCCTTTAATAAACTCAGCACAATTTGATAAAACAGTGACATTAAATGGATAGTAAAAACCATCAACAAATCAAACACATAGTCATGGTATCTTAAAACGTAAAATACTCCAGCATCATCAGCAGATGTAGCTACAGTTGAGCCAAAATCACATGCACACAACTCCATTTAGCTCCTCCTTTTTCTGAATATTTACTATTCCAAGTAGTTGCGTTAAGAATCATGTTAAATGTCCTTGTGCTTATGCTCATCTTGTTCACAGGACCTTCTCCGTCATTCAAGTCCTGCTCTTAATTTCCCAATTGCATGCCCAGTTCCCCCTGGCTATCTACCAGGGACTGTGCCTCTGTTCAGGATCAAACATCATTTTCCTAGATTTCTTAAAAGCAAATTTCATTTTTCTGTCTGCCTTTCATTTAAAGGTAAAGATCTGCAAAATGATCTGTGCCTAAACTGTTCAAAGCATGAAAGCTATTTTTGGATGACCTATGCCTCAAGTAAAACATGTTTCATATGTGGATGACTGTGCCTCAAGGAAACCTTATGTTTTGGTTTGTGTACAAATTTGTTTCTAATCAGAAGAGGGCATGGGAGGGAGAAGGGGGGAACTTATGGACATTAAGATTGGTGGTTGAGGAAAGGGAAGAAATGGCTGAAGCAGATCAGCCCCTCTCTCCCATCAGCAGCTCCCAGCATGGCTTATCCCAGTGGTGGCGAACCTATGGCACGGGTGCCAGAGGCGGCACTCAGAGCCCTCTCTTTGGGCACCCGCGCCGTTGCCCCAGTCCTAGGTCTTCAGCTGGGTTTTATAAAACCTTTTTGCTTTAGGCCTCCGCCACCGTGTACCAAAAAAAAGGTTCAATCAATCAGTCAATTTCAACTTCTCGCAAGGAAAAAAAAAGATCTTGCAAAGTTGGAATTGATTGATCGAACTTTTAAGTCCCACCCAGTCTGCCGTTACCGCAGCCATGCCCACCCAATGGGCCACACCCACCCGGCACCCGACGATGCATAAGTGGGTTTGGGGTTCCAGTTTGGGCACTCGGTCTCTAAAAGGTTTGCCATCACTGGCTTATCCCATCAGCCTACCTATGCCCTGATCTTCCCAATGCCTTCTATTCCTTCTCTCCCTCCCTTCAATCATTTCCAATGGCCAATGTGGAATTTCCCACAGACTGCTCTCCTCAATTTTCTCAACATCTTTCCTTCCCTCCTGTGCAGATACAGGGGAATATTGGCATGAAGAGTGACTGTATTCCAGAATGTGAGGTGCTGTTGTGGAGAGGGTTGGGTGATGTTGCCACAAGTCACCAGTGAAGGAGGGGAAAGTACTGAAAAGATTGAGAATCAGGCCAGCGTTGCACCGATGCATACATGGGGACAGCAAAAGGGATGCAGGAAAGGGAAGACTCTAGGATGAAGGGGGAGCAGGCTTGAGGGATATGACACATTAGTAGTTGCTGAGGAAAAAAAAGGGAGAGAGGGAGGAATACATAAGCAACTTCCTCCATTGCCCTATCCAATTATGTTTTATCCCAAATTCAGAGCAGTGAAAATGTTCTGGGTATGATGTTTGCCAAATTGTGGCTTCGCTAGAATGGTTTTCTAGAACTTGTAGAAAGTAGGGATTTGTTCCAAGATTGAAACAGAACTTTTTTTCCCATTTTGCATACCTCCTTATTTATACACAATCTTTTCAGTGCGTGAGTGACTCGATTCTAGTTCTTGCAGAAGGGGAAGAGAGATGGAGGACATCACCACCGCTCAGCAATTCTTTTGGGGGAAAAAGAAAAGGCTGATGTATTTGTCCACAAAATTAAATCCAACTTACTTACTTCTTAATCACAAATCGGATCCGTTCCTTTGCCAGTAAAATCCGTTCAAGACGTGGGATCCCATAAGTGGAGGGTCTACGAAAAGGAATTCCTTCTGGTAATCCTTCCACATACAGATCTTCAACATGAGATTGGAAGAGTGGATACGGGATAGATACAGGCCCTTTTGCATTAATAGCTTCAGCTTTAATGTAAACAAGGAAAAATTATATTACAGTTTAAATAAAGAATGCCAAACTATGTGTTCCCAAAGGATACCGAATGTAATCAAAGTAACAATATGTTTCAATGGAGCCTATTTTAAATCAAAGGAGGGATCCCCCAAGGTTCTAAATCTGAAGCCGATGCCAAACAGCATCAATTACCAGTAGCAATTTTCATTAACAATATATTAGCAGCCTGGTTTTGAGCTCTAACACAAACAACAGTCAAACTATGATTCAGAATTAACTAATTTTATTTTTTTATAATCTGTTTAATGTTGTAATCTCTCGGTGCAAGTCCTTTACAGATATAGTAATGATCATAAATCTGGATTGCTAATGCAGCTATTCCATCAAGCTATAAATGGTGCAGACCCAGATCAATTCATATTTTATTTTCTGATTCATTTTACAGATGGTCAGAAATATCACTAGTTCACACAGATACCAAACCTCAACTATAAATCTATGCCATGTCCATGTTAACCCAGAAGTTGAGTTTACTTGCTATTCACAAATATGTTCTGTAGGCCTGCAGTTGGGTGATCACACCTACAAAAGGATGTTTTCATCTAGAGTCAGGATGTAAAAATGTAATAGGACCATCTTACGTCTCCCTCTTTCTGTATTCTCATCATTTCTCAGGGGGAGAGGAGGTGGGAGCAAATAACCCATTGAACAGAGCAACACCTGCATTTGGCAGGAAGTAAAAAGAGAGAAGAAAGAAGGTGTTTCAGTTCTTATTCTTAAGGTGACTCAAAATAAGAGAGCTTTTTCTCCCAATCTTCTGCATAGGCAAAGGAAGACACTGTACTATAGTTCACTTCAGAATCCTCAATATCTAATGGATTCTGCCAATGCATAGAGATTGGACTGATCCAAAAATTATCAAGGGAGAATTGTAGATTCAAAATTAATAGGACAGGTAATTTGTGATTTCAGGGTCCTCTTAAAATTTTTAGAATCTTTGAATTGTGCAGTGGCTTACCACTGGTGGCAAACTGGCTTTTAATGTCTTTAGTCTGGCAATTGTTTTCTTTACCAAAAAAGAAAGAAATCAGCCTCATACTATGATCTCAGCTACCCCTTAAAGTAAAATAATAACAGAATAGCAAAATGTTGCAAATATTTGCTGGTCTTAAATACTGGAAGGTCTTTTAGGATTTGAGGAATGTGGCATATCTGGTCCATTGTACTACAGTACAATAGTATCTGTGAGCCAGGAAATGCTGCTGAACAACAGCATACAATAAGTGAATTAGGGGAATAGGTTAGGAGTACATAATTCTACCAAAAGGAAAAGACTTCTATACAGTCAATACAAAAACATCCTATTTTCATACATTTTTCACATTCCCTTCCTTTGTCTCTAAACTCCATTTTTTAAATGGTAGGCAGCTATAGTCATAGGACAATACAAAAACTCCACATCAGTATCTTCAAAACATCAGATACACTTGGCTCTGAGTGGAAACTCATCAGGGATTTTCTATTTTGTTAATTTATTGTTTTGTTATTTTTTCCTGCTATGTTTTTACTTTAAGGTGGTGTTTGTTTTGTGGTGTTGGCAGTACTGAAAGACTGGAGCTGGCATTCTGCCTGGAGATGTCAGCTGGAGCTCACTGTGGTGATAGAGTAATTCTCCAAAACATTTAGGAGTGGCAGCTTGACAAGACTGCTCCTAAATTACATCTTTCTGACAGAAGATCTTGGGTTTATTAAGGGGCTTCAGGAGATAATGTGGTAGAAATTACACTTGGAGCACCAGTAAACTAAAAGTGAACTTGACTGAGCCCAAAAGCTCATGCTTAAACCTACAATGTGATAATGAGTGCCATAGCACTCCACATGTCTGTCCTTATTGCTTCAACAGATAATCATTTAGTGGCTCTATATAAGGTTATTCATTCACTTAAATTTGCCAGAATCTATGTCTCTTCCTAGGTGGGATGTGGAGGCACTTGTTATCTTGGATTCATTCCGGCCAGTAGATTTGGATGAAGTGGAAAGGAGCTTGGAACCCATGCTCTTCCTGGTTCTTTTGGGCAGTTAGCATATATTTGTTTGTAACCAGTTTCAGAAAGCTGGCAGAACCTCTCTGACACAAAGGGTTGTCTCACTGTATTTAAGAAGGCATGGCACATCCCGTTCTAAGAAGCCTTCCTTAGATCCAGAAACCTTGGATAATTATTATCTGGCTATTTATTA